AGGATCCTGTGCCTGATGCAGAGCTTGAATCCCTGGCTCTTCTGGGAGAAGTTCTGTATCCTCGAGCTCCCTCCCGACTGTGAAGCACACCTCTGCTGGGGTGTGGTTTTTCTCTTGAGTCGACTGTATTTCTACCTCTTCTACACTTCTCGGCACTGCCCCTTGTTGTGGAGGCTCTATTCATTCTGTTTCCAGGCCCCCTTCAGAGGGAATCCAGCATTTTCCTACACTTGCATCTTGAATGGGAACCCAGGATATTTTTGGGTCTCCCTCAATTTTATGACATGGTCGTGACATTAAACGTGTATATATAGCCTGGCCATGGGCTGGAGCATTGTCCTGATAAGCCAAGGTTGCAGGTTCCATCCCCAGTCAGGGCACATGTGAGTACAAGAATCAACGAATAAATGCAGAAATAGGTGGAACAATAAGTCGACGTTTCTGTCTCTCATTCCTTCCTCTCTCTCTAAAGTCAATAAATAAAAATAAAAAATAGAATAAACCACATATACAGAGAACACTGATAATTTAATGATACAAAACTTGATCTTTGTGGGTCATGAAAGAGCAGCCATATTCATGAGTGGCAACTGGTTCATTTACTTATTAGAAATTTTCTTCAGAGTGCCATTCAGGGGCTTTGGAGAAGTGATTTAGAAAATGCCTTCTGAAAACAGAGTTTACTTTATCAATGAAAAATAATTTGAAATGTTTTTGGACTTTGGCTGACTAAAAATCTAAGAAAAATCAATGATGTAATCATGTCATAGATCCTTTTTGTTCTTTGTTATTCATAATTTTTACTCCAAGATAATTTGAAGTGCCTTATACGAAGCATTGATAAAATAAGACTGGCAAAGACTTTGCTGGATATAGTCAATATAAAGTTTAGATTTGAACTCCATGGTGGACAAAGGAAATTATACAAATTTAGTGAATGTACAAAGGTAGACCATCTGCTTTAAAAGGGAGAAATTTAATCTAGTTCCTAGGGTGAATCTTTTAAATTTTGTCTTATTTATACTGCATGTGATAAAAGATGTATCTTATAGAAGAGAAACTAAGGGCCAGAGAGGACAAGTCATTGTTTATAGTCACACAGAAATTTGCTGTCACCAATCAGGACCAGAAACCGTTCTTTCACTCTGTGTGGTCCCAGAAATAGAAGGCAATGCCCCATTCTTAAAACAAAAACAAAAACAAAAAACAAAACAAAATAACAAAAAACCCCAAACTAATACAATGAAATAAAAACAAGAATACCAGTAACCAGACAGCCACACATAGAAGAGCAGGGACTAGTAGAGCACGGGATGGAAAGCCAAGGCATTTGAAACTACCACGAGTTTCCTAAGAACAAGCTCAGTGTTGGGGGCAACAGGAGGTTCGAGAGCAGGAGCACTGGTTCTAACTTGCCATATGTTTGCTATGAGAGAAAATTCAGGTAATCCATGTGAAAATGCCTTTCAGAAGAAAGTAGAATTACACAAACTATGGGAGCAAAATTTCATGAAGGAAAGAAGAGCTGATCAGGATGGTCAGCTGAAGCAGAGGGGGGAAGGACTGAAGTCCATTGGGGGTCTCACATGTAGGTGAGAAAATGGGAGGGGAGAGACTCAGAGGCAGTGACTACAGACTTCTCTTTCAAGAAACCTGATTCAAGAAAAGGAAAGACAAAAAGGGTCATGAGGTGGGGAAGGCCTGTTTGTTTCATTTTGAGATCTGAGATTCGCCTGTGTTTTTCTTCTGAGCCAAAAGGGCTAGTTCAGATATGGGGTTTAAAAATACTGGCAAGAAATGGGATAATGGACATAGGAATTCCTGGAGAGGGCAGGAGGGCATGGGGTGGAGAGCATATGTGTGTGGACTAAGCTTGGACAGGAGGGGACCCACCCTTCCTTCAAAATAGAGGGCCAGGAGGAAAAGGTGGATAGAAATGGGAGTAATTTGTAGGCAAAAAAGCAGGAAATTAGAGGAATTCATGCCTGATGACTCTCATTATCTCTGAGATACAAAGCAAAATTATTTATAGAGAAAGGAAATGTGAGTTTGGGGTTGGGTTTTTAAATAGCCCAGAAGAGGAATGATAATAGACTTAACAGTGGGTGTACCCACTTCAGATTGGATAACCCAGATTGTACTGGACAATAAATTGTGGATTGTTCTCTATCCAGGTAGAGGAGTAGAAAATTCTAGCAAATTGTTCCACTGGTCCATTGCATAGCATACAATGTAGGACAGAAGGGTTAGAGAGTTGAGAGTGTTTGAAGAGGTGTCACTCAGTGTAAGCAGGAAGGGACAGAGACAAAGCCAAGAGTCCCCCGAGAGTCTTGGCTCCTTGTGGTCCATTAATGGAAAGAGAGAGAAAAGAGGGAGAGAGCTGGATAGGCGAGAAGTTTTCAGAGTGTAAACAAAGCCAGTGTGTGTTCTCAGGATTGATTTGCAGAGGGAGAATGGGGCTGCAAGCCATGAACTGAGGGGACAGGTCACCAACGTGGATGTTGAAGTCCTCCAGAGAGATGGCAGGGGGTGACAGCTGCAAGGGAGTCACTAGTGGATCAGTAAATGACAATTAGAACATGACAGCATCAATGGCAGATGGTCCACTCAGCAGAGAGCCTTGTGCATATGCTTCTGAGTACTGATCTGAAGGTAACAGCAGGGCACTGACCACAGCTTTCAGTCTTATGTGAAGGAGGCTACACAGTCTCCACTTGAAAGGCCAGGGAGAGCTGTGACCTTGGGTAGACACGAGGGGGTTCACATAGACCAGGAGGTGGCAGGAGAGCTTGTCAAAGACATGGACTCATCTTGCTCCAGAGGACACAGAGGGAAATGAGGGGAGGTGGAAAAATACCAGGCCAAGCAGGGCTGAGATTCTAGGAGAGGAAACCGACCAGAGGCTTTGCATTTTGGGTGGTGGTGAAAGATGGATAAGGTGAGAGGTAAGAAGGTAATTGTCTCACGGCTGCTGGTGGACTCGTGACACCAGGAGTGCCACTACCACGTGTTGTCACCTGGACTACTGTAGGATTTTAGGGGCCGAGGTGTGCAGAGTATCTTCTGTGCTTGCTTTTTGGTGGCTGTAACCTCTGCAGACCACAACCTGGCAGAGGAGGAAAGAGAAGAGATTGTATAGTATTGATAAATTGAGTTTGTGACTAGATATAAATCTTTGCCCATAAAATAATCTTTATAGATAAAAGGAGCCAGTAATAGTGATTAAGGGCTACTATACCTAAGAAGTTATTTGATACTCTATCACATTCTGAGAAGAATGATATGGGTGATTGAATTATAATGCACTGTGCCCTGTTCTGAGGTCTTTGGTTTAGTCTTCTCTTCAACCCTATCACTTTTATTCTCTGCCCAAGTAGAGTGAGGTGCAGATGTTAAGTAAACTTGCTCAAGGCTAAAAAGCTAGTCAGAATTAGAACCCAGGCATCCAAGGTGAATGAATGTTCTTGATCCTGAACCACTGCTTGATGTGGTGGTGCAACATTCAGATGTGGACTCTTCATAGTTATAATCTGACAGAGATACAGGAAATGAAAACAGACCCTCAGTTCTAGGTGCAGACATCCAAATGCTACATCAGGGTTAAACCGAAAAACAGAGAGGCCCATTTCCCCTGAAATCTGGTGATGGCTTCTGTTTAAAGATCCAGGCTTGGCCCTCACTCATGAATACATTTACCTCAGGTATTCTTTCTTTCTTTTTTTTAAATTTAGAGAATTTATTTTGTTTTTAGAGCCTATATTAGGAATTTCAAACAGTTGGAAAATATAGTCTTGATTATTTTGAACTGATTGGCGTATTTTATTTTTATTTTTTTATTTTTTTTCCAAAGATTTTTTATTTATTCATTTTTAGAGAGAGAAGGGAGGGAGGGGGAGAGAGAGAGAGAGAGAAACATCAATGTGCGGTTGCTGGGGGTTATGGCCTGCAACCCAGGAATGTACCCTGGCTGGGAATCGAACCTGGGACACTTTGGTTCCCAGCCCTCACCCAATCCACTGAGCTACACCAGCCAGGGTTATTGGCGTATTTTAGAGTATGCAGATTTCTTATTTCTTTTCCTTTCTCTTTGATGCTCTTTCACCTAGCATGTTTCACAGTTGGCTCACATAGAGAGAAACAGAATATAATCATGTTGACAGCTATTCTAGCTCTTTATCAGTCATTTTCTAAAAATATATGTGGAAGAGAAAACGGGAGTGATAATAGTGATTATCTGAGGTTATAAATTATCTCTGCTGTTACTGCGCTCCTTTATCACGGGCTATTAAAACTTGGTTGAAAAGTGGAAATAAGATTGCACTTACAATTTTTAAAAACAAAATCAAGATTACGTAATGTAAGATTCTTTTAAAGTCTCAAGTTCATTGGAACATTTTATACATGACAAAGAGGTAATGATATATGATCTTTGAAAACAGAAAGTCATAAACAGCATATTATTATTTGAGGCTACAAAGGTGGTTATAGAAATTACGTCCAGTTGTCATCAATTGTCCTGGTATCAGTGGCATTAGCATATAAAATCACATACCCACTTTTCTAAGTTAATACAATTTTTCAACATTGATAAAATTTTTATAATGATGATCGAGAAATGCCAGAGGAGAAAATGAAAGGGTTTGGGCATGTGAAGGACAATTTTGATTTAGAAATATCTTTGAAATGTATATATTGCTGTATTACATGATTTGATTCATTTGCAGCACAGTGCCTTACACATAGCATGATGAATTTAGAATGGATTCTTGGAAACATCCAAGAACATATCTAATATTTGATTGTGGTAGCTTCTTTAATTACCTTCAACTTTAATTACCTTCAGTAAACGTTGACCTGGTTATTCATGAAAAGGTCATTTAATTATTCCCCAAGAAGGAAATTCAGGTGGACTCGATCCTCACTTCTATAATCATTTACTTTGAGTAAAAGCTAAGTATTTAATACCTTTGTGGTTATGGTGTGTGCTTTATATATTTCAGATAGGAAAAGAACATGTAGGCCTAAAGGCTGTGACTGAAATCCTTCAGGATATTCAATATAAGGTAAGGCATTGTTTTAAAGAAAATAAAAACCCTGGTTGTATAAGAGGTCCCTACGGCCACCTTCAGGCTCGATGACTCACTAAAAGGACTCACAGAAAAGCTGCTGTTCTTATGGTTGTGCTTTACCACAGCAGAAGGACATGCATGAGGAACCAGTGCCGTGAAAAGCCATGTCCGGGAGAGTCCAGGAGAAACCAGGCCCAGCTTTCAGGGGTCCCCTCCCAGTGGTGTGGTGTGGGGATGCACCTGGTTCTCCCAGCAGTGATGTGTCATAACACGTGTGAGGTGTTGCCAATCAGGGAAGCTTCTTGAGCCATGGTGACTTGGGATTTTATTAGGGGTCATGCATTGCGTGAGGGACTGACCTCAGCAACTCAGACCCCAGCCTTCCCACCCTGACCCTCAGCCAAACTAGACATTCTTGGGATCAACTTATCTTCTCAAATTGGTATAGCATGGGCCAAGGCCTCCAGCATACAAAACACTCTGTAAGGCAGAATATCCCAGGGGCTCAGAGATTATGACACAGGAGTTTTTAAACAGCCATTTCTTATTTTTTTAACATTTTTTTTGAAAAAAATTTATTTGTTTTATTTTTAAATTACAGTTGACAATACAATATTATATTAACAAGGGTCAGTCTTAAAGACGGGCCATTTTTGAAATGTGAGGATTTGAGCAACCCAGGCCTGTTGAGTTAAACTTTTCTGCCCATTGGTTATAGGAAAGTTGTGTAAATGAAACAAATAAAAATTGTGGCAGCCATACTTCACAGTATTTATATATAAAAAAAGACAAATACCCATAGGCCATAAGATAGTATATCCCAGAGAAGGTGTTATAGATTGATTTGACCCTGCAGTGATTAAGCCTAGCATGGCTGAGAAGCCAAGTTCTGCCATAAACAGTACCTTTTATGGTTACATTATCATCAGTAGAATCTGAGTGGCCTTGGAGGGGAGTAGTTTAATCCTGCATGGATACTTATGGCACAGCATACTGATCCAAAGACCCAAAGGCAATGCTAAAACCCATTTGGGAATGAAGTCTCATTAACTTTATGCTAGCACTAACCCAGGGAATGTTGAACCAGATGAAGAACCTCTACCAAAGATCTCCTGAGCAGCCTCAGAATGAATCCAGGTACCAAGGGAAAGTGCAGAGAGTCAAAGAAACTGGTAAAAGAGGACATGTTTCGACTGAAATTTGTCTGAAAAAAATAGGTGGTGAAACTTTCCTTTATTTCTTTGGCTAATATGACATAAATCATTACAGAATTCAGGAGGATGGTGGGAGGCAAGTGATCTGGATCCTGACATGTCCAATAGTCTCTAAAAGTAAGGAAGAGACATAGAGCTCGTGCATTAATGTTCCCTGGTATGTCTGCATTCACAGAGTAAATCTGTGGGGGATGTCCAACTGCCATGACAAGTCTGTCTGCCTCAAAGGCCTAAGCGATTTAAATGGGAAAAAATACAATAAAGAATAAAATAAAAGAACATTAATTTATAATTTTGATGTTAAAAACATAAAATAAAATCTCAGCACAAGATCACAAAAAATAAAATAAAATAAAGGCACACAAAGGACTTCAAAAAATAAATAACACTATTTAAAATAGTGATCATTAATATGAATTACTGAGTAAGGCACACATATTTTTGTTGAAAATTAAATCTGGCTTTGGTAAAGGTTGACTGAAGTTGAATGTTTTCATTCATGTGTCAGATCTTTCTGTCTGGAGGAGGAGAGCATGTGGAAGAGGTCCTAGGGATGAATTGCCAAATCCAAATGAAACAAAATAAGAATTTGGGAGGCAGGTTGTGATGCCAAGATCAAAGTACCAGAAGGAAAGTTCAGTCAAAATAATTACATCAGGGTTCAGGCATTTACCTCCAAAGCCCGAGTCTTTGCTATGGACATGCTAGGCCCAGGAAAAGTAGGACAGATACTAGATTGACAGTTGCCAGTTTCACAGCAGGAACTGCAGGGAGAACTGAACTGCAGTAGAAAAGCAGACTCAGAACAGGAGTCTTGTTGGAACCAGACTCTGTTGCTCCAGTGAGAAGACAGCATGAGACACAAATCTGTGGGGTCCGATGATGTCATTCACAGAAAACTTCAACTTGAATTTTGAGTGCTAATAACTCTTTTATTGTAAAATTAAGAAGGTTTTTTAACATGGGGTAATTTTTTCCCCTTTTTTTTAGGGGAAGTCCAAAATAATACCTTGCTTTAATCCTAACACTTTATTACCAGGTAAGTGTGCATCTGATTGCATAAGATGAATTTTGACGGTGGATATGAGTACATTGCTCTCCTCAGAATGTATAACTATATATATTATTAGTTAATATAATTTCTTTAGTATGTATATATTCTCTATACTAGGTAAACCTTTTGAAAATAAAAATACCACTAGTTCTATGAATCCATGAAGGGTTTCCTTTTTATAAAAATTGCATCAGCATAATAAGATAACCTTGGTATACTTCTAAAATTGATCACTAAAGCTTTTATTAACCTCTAGAGTAAAATAAACTTTACATTGTATTTTATAAGGCAACCTCTTTGCAGTGATTATTTAGGTATGCCCAAATGGGCAAGAATTGTGTGTAAAATACTCAGAATATAATTTGTAGTTGAAGGTTGATTTGTACAAAGTTTTGGTCCTTGCAAATCTTTGCCTAAAGTATGTGGAATTTCTTTTTTAAAAAATATTTTTAAAAAGATTTTATTATTTATTTTTAGAGAGATGAGAAGGGAGGGAGAAAGAAAGAAAGAGAAACATTGATGTGTGAGGGAATCATTGACTGGTTGCCTCTCACATGCCCCCAATCGGGGACCTGGCCCGCAACCCAAGCATGTGCCCTGACTGGGAATGGAATTGGTGACACTTTAGTTTACAGAGTGGCACTCAATCCACTGAGCCGCACCAGTCAGGGCAAAATTTCTTAATATTTCAAATAAAACCAAATAGGTTGATGCATTGTATCTTCTACTTTCTATGTATAATTGCTTTACAACAAAAATGGACATTTATCCATCATATTTAATCATGAGTTCCTCTGATGCAGAGCTATAAGATTCCATAAGAATAACTTTTTGTCTATCATAATATGCTTTTTAAATTTTGCTGTTGAAGAAGCAATATAGATAAAAGCTAGAACAGAATGGTTAAAAACACCATTGAAGCCAGACTGCTTTGGTTCAAATCCTGGCTCTGCCAGTTATTAGCCCAGTGACCTTGGGCAAATTATGTAACCCTCTGTGATCGGTTTCTCCATCTGAAAAAATGGGGATCATAATAGGACTTATGTCATTGATTTGTTGTAAGGATTAAATGAGTAAATGTAGAATAGAACCTTACATGTATCAAGCTTTCAGTAAATATTATGTATAATTAAGTAAATCCTCCAACAAAGTAAAAAAACAAACCATGAATACATTTCTGCCAAAGTGACTAAACTTGATATATAGGTACATATCAAGTTTTATCAAGTTTATATATATTAAGTTTGTACATCAAGTTTACACAACCATATTTGGATACACATAATAAACTGTCGATAGAAATCTCTATAAATAATAGAGGACTCATCATGTTTTCTATCAATTCTTTTCTTTATGATGATTAGTTTAAAAATACATGTAAGCCTTCATTTTAAAAATGACATCAATATGAGAAGTATTATTTGGAAAATTTGTAATTTTGAAAATTATTGTTTTGAGTCTTCAAAATTATGATTAATTAACTTGCCTTTTTGTGACATGTCCACCTGGCTGCACAGACCCTCTGCTGCGTGATTACTGGGTGTACGAAGGCTCGCTCACCATTCCGCCATGCAGTGAAGGCGTCACCTGGATATTATTCCGATACCCTTTAACTATATCCCAGCTACAGGTGAGTGTGGTACCTTAAATCTCTTTGAATGAAGTTCTGAGTTAAAGGTTAAACGTTGTTTCTGTAAAAGGGAAGTGTCTGTTTCCTGTGTAAACTCTCTTCAGATCAGTCACATCTCTGCGGATGAAAGTTAAATGTCTCGAGCTTGTGAAAGCAATTGAAAGGTCAAGGATGAACAAAACCCAGTAATCCTTTATGATCTGTGTTTTAAAAGTCAGTTTTTATGACATAAATAGAAGTCACTGAAATAGTCAAACTTTTGATCAGTATAGTCATTCCTGTGAGTGGGTTTCCCAAGCATGGAGAAGAAGAAGGTCTTGGAAGTAAAGTGACAATGCTGGTTTCTGCTGTAAGTCACAGGTGGGCTTAGAACTAGTTCTTTGTGGGCTAGCACAACAACACATTTGTGTGGAGAAAGGTGAGAGAGTTAGAAAGAATACCCTGGAAAGTTCTGAATTGTTCTGTAGCCCCATGTTTGGTCCCCTACCTCCCACCTTGGGCTCTGCATAGGTGTTCTAAGTGCTCCTCGGTAAACGGCCCTATCTTCCTAAAGGGGAGACTGCCAAAGGAATGTGTATTTGAAGTAATAATCTCAACTGCTTTAGAAAATAAATGACTTTCCAGTTAGCTATAGCTTTTCAAGAGAAAAAATTTAGATGCAGTTATCACAAAGCTCCCAATAGCATCTGTTTAGAGGGCAGATGTTACAGCAGGCAGCAGTGTTAAAAAGTACACACACACACACACACACTCAGACACGTGCATGCATACTAAAATGCAATTTAGGGTGAGTTAGAAAAAATTATTGAATATAATCTTAAGAGAATATGTGTCAGTCTGTCCTTGACTTGAAGGTTGCACTGTTGCTGCTCTATAATTTCAGAGAAAGCAGAGCAAAAATAGAAAATGTCTAGAGAGGACAGTAAAAATGAGAATCTAAATGAAAAATTGAAGTCTCATATTATTGTACTTAAGAAGAACAGAAAAGGAGATAAAGAGAAAGTGAGAAATGATGTATACAATAAAAGGAATAGTGAATGGCAGGTGGAGTCACACACAGATGATGATATTGAGAAAAATAAAACTTTGTGTTGAAGAAAAGAGTATTTCATTCTGTAGGGTTAACATGTGATTAAGCTGCTGGGTATTATGATGGAAGCGATTACTATCTTGAATACATCATCTGCCATGGGATAATGTCTGCACTAGCAACACTGAAAAACAAACTCTCGGTCATAATGCTTTCCTGTGAAGTACACAGCAGCTTGATTCAAGGAGGAGTTTTCTGCTGAAGTGTGCGACTGACAATTAAACATGGCATGGGACATTTACATCTTCTTGAGTACAAAGAATTCTAGAATATGGAATTGGAAGCGCCTGCTTAGTTGAGTTTTTTATATTGTGCTTGGTTAGCAAGCAATACCATATGCCAGGGAAAAACACACAATTGGATGAATTTGAATGAGTGCAATTTTCTTTTTTTTAATGATCAATAACCATTGAATTACTTTAAGATAAACAGTTTTCTAAGCATTAGAAAGCCAAGTAAAATTTTTTTCAGCTATATTGTGTTTGGAGATGAGGTTCCACAAAGATAATAATTTCATCAGATCTGACAACGGAAATTGTAACACATTCTGACTTCACAGAGCCATTGCAATATGAACAATACTCAGAATTGATAAAATGTGGTATTTCAATACAATTGCATATATGCAAATATTTGTGCACACACGTGAACACACACATAGACGGATAATTAAATTTTACCCTCCTTTTTCTGCTTTTTTCTCCCCCTTTTCCGCATTTTCCCCTTATTAATCTATTTCTTTTTTAAAAAGATTGTATTTATTTATTTTTAGAGAGAGGGGAAGTTAGGGAGAAAGAGAGGGGGAAAAACACCAATGTGTGAGAGATACATAGATCAGTTGCCTCTTGTATAACCCAAACTGGGGACCCAGCCTGCAACCTAGGCATGTGCCCTGACTGGGAATTGAACCTTTCGGTTCACAGGCCAGCACTCAATCTACTGTGCCACACTAGCCAGGGTTATTTCTATTTCTTAACTTACCTGCTTTCTCAAATTAAATGTGTCTGTCTTTGTCATTTCTTGTCCCTTTCAACAGCAAGTAACACCAATGAAACAAAAAGAATATGGAATATGTTAATTATTTTTTAATTATCATTTTTAATATATTTTATTGATTATGTTATTACAGTTGTCCCATTCCCCCCTTCACTCCCCTCTACCCTGCACACCCTCTCCCACCCACATTCCCCCCCTTTAGTTCATGTTCATGTGTCATAATTTCTTTAGCTTCTACATTTCCCATACTATTCTTACTCTCCCCCTATTTTCTACCTACCATCTATGCTACTTATTCTCTATACCTTTTTCCCCTCTCTCCTTCTCCCACTCCCCTGTTGCTAACCCTCCATGTGATCTCCATTTCTGTGGTTCTGTTCCTGTTCTAGTTGATTGCTTAGTTTCTTTTTGTTTTTGTTTTAGGTGTGGTTGTTAATATTTGGGAGTTTGCTGTAATTTTACTATACATTTTTTTATCTTCTTTTTCTTAGATAAGTCCCTTTAACATTTCATAAAATAAGGGCTTGGTGAGGATGAACTCCTTTAACTTGACTTTATCTGGAAGCACTTTATCTGCCCTTCCATTCTAAATGAGAGCTTTGCTGGATAGAGGAAACTGAGATGTAGGCCCTTGCCTTTCATGATTTGTACTTCTTTCTAGTCCCTTCTTGCCTGCAAGGTCTCCCTTGAGAAATCAGCTGACAGTCTGATAGGAACTCCTTTATAGGTAACTGTCCCCTTATCTCTTGCTGCTTCTAGGATTCTCTCCTTCATTTTTACCTTGGCTAATGTAATTATGATGTGCCTTGGTGTGTTCCTCCTTAGGTCCAACTTCTTTGGGAATTTTTGAGCTACCTGGACTTCCTGGAAGTCTATTTCCTTTGCCAGATTGGGAAGTTCTCCTTTATTATTTGTTCAAATAACTTTTCCACTTGTTGCTCTTCCCCTTCTCCTTTTGGTACCCCTGTAATTTGGATGTTGGAACATTTAGAGATGTCCTGGAGGTTCCTAAGCTTCTCCTCATTTTTTGGAATTCTTATTTCTCCATTCTTTTCTGTGTGGCTGTTTCTTTCTTCCTTCTGGTGCATTCCATTGATTTGAGTCCCAGTTTCCTTCCCATCACTATTGGTTCCCTGTGCATTTTCCTTCATTTCTCTTATCGTAGCCTTCATTTTTTCATCTAATTTGCAACCAGATTCAACCAATTCTGTGAGCATCTTGATCACCAGTGCTTTGAACTGTGCATCTGATACGTTGGCTATCTCTTGGTCGCTTAAAAATATTGGCTCTGGGCTTTGATTTGTACTTTGGTTTGAGCCTTTTTTTTTTTTTTTTTTTTGGTTTGGTTGCACATGTTATGTATGAGGGGCGGACACTTAGGTGTTCTCCAGGGCAAGGCAACACAGTTGTTGGGTTGTGACGCTGTATGTGGGGGCGGGGTCCGAGAGGGGTCAATGGCGCTTGCTCCTCTCTCCATCCAATTTCAGTCCCTTCCGCTGCTTCCCCCAAGCTAACTGGACCTTTCTGGTGCTAATATCCTTGTGGGTGGGCTTGTGTACATTCTAGGACCCCGTGGGTCTCTCCCATACACTCTCCTGTGGGTCTGGGAGTCTCTCCCTGAGCCTCAATCCCCACAGGTGTTTTCAATCAGTGTCCTGAGGTTCTATTTCCTGGTGCTGGGACCCTGGGTTCCGTGGTCTGTCTCACTGCTCGATGTTGCCTCATTTATCTGCGTGTGAATGTGGGACAGCCAGGCGCCTTGTGTGCAGTGCCTCCCCTCACAGTCGCCACCTGGCTGGGTTTGACAGCCGCCTGTGTTGTTGGGATGCCTTACGCACCCAGGATATGTTACACGTCGCTTTTTGAGCCTCCACTCCTCTTTGCAGGGCTGCCGGACTCCGCCCCTCCTACCAGTCTGGATGAATGTGTATATTTTAACTCCCTGGTTGTCTGACTTCCATACAGTTCAATTTTCTGTCAGATCTGGTTGTTATCTTGTTTCTAAATTGTTGCTGACCTTATTTTGGTTGTGCAAGGAGACACAGTGTGTCTACCTACTCCTCCATCTTGGCCGGAAGTCCAGAATATGTTAATTATTTTTCACTGTGTGGATACAGGTCTGTTAGAATTTGGAAAACCATTTCAACTTTGTCTCTTTTCAGTCTTACCTCCTCTTCATCTGTCCCCATCCCATATTTCCTGTGGATTGAGACGTGGGACTCTTCTTAGCTCCTGACACCTGAGTTAAGGCACAGTGTGTGTGTGGCAGGTGGGATCTGGGAGCACCCTGGGACCTGGACAGCTACGGGTCTGATTATATCCAGGAGTCCTCAGCAGGCCTTTCTTGTCTTTGTGTTCTACATGTGGTTTGAGGGTTAACAGACCCTCAAACCGGTTGCTGTGGACCACAGCATGGTCATGTTTGAAATGAATTCAAGTGCATTGGAACAATTGTTGTAAGCTTTTTTTTTTTTTTCCTGTATCCGTGATTCTCAATCAATCCCCTGGAGGGCTTGTTAAAGCGAAGATGCTGGGCCTCACGCCAGAGTTGCTGATTTGGTAGGCCTGGGGCAGGAACTTATTCCAGGAAACACACTTTGAGAACTGCTGTTTTTCATCTGCCAGCATTTATCTCCATGTGTAATTTCCACTCCAACACCAAAACGGTGTTTCTGAAGGGTGACACCAGACCAGCCCTATCCCATAGAAACATGATGTGAGCTAACTATGAAGATGAAAATTTCTAGTAGCCCCAGTAAAAAGTCAAAATAAAAGGTGAAATTAATTCAAGTTGTCTATTTTAACATAATATATTCAAAGTATCATTTTAACATGGATGTAATCACATCAGTGAGTTTCTGTTTTTACATTCTTTTTTCATAGTGACTTTCAGTGTTTATTCAGTACATCTCAGCTTGGACTGGCTGCATTTCAAGTGCTTGGTGGCCCCCTAGGACTGGTGGCTGCTGTGCTGGGCAGTGTAATTTTAAGATTCTCTCTTTCCTTGAAGACTCTCTCTTTCCTTTCTTAACATGTACTATTTTTAGGAATTTGTGGGAAATTTTGTGTCTGTTTCTTCAGTGTCTTTCATGATACAGAGCATATCCCCTGTGGTCATATACTCTGCAATCTGTAAATCTTGAGTCAATTTCAGTGTGTGTGGCTCATCAGTAACTGTCCTACAGTGATGAGGGCGAGACAGTGGCAGAGACCAGGCTGGGGACTGGAATAAGAGGAAAGTTTACCTCTATGTTCTGGGGAAAAATGTTCTCTAAGCTCTTCCTCAGAAAATAAAAAAGATCAGATTAAAGAGTAAGTGATAGAATGAGGGTTGGTTTATGAACAAGAGTTCAGTAAGAAAGGGGAAGCAATGTTTTGAGAAAGACAGTGAAGACAATGAAACAAAAGCAAGGCTGCAGTACGTGGAAGGTGCATATTACATAAAATCTCACGATGTACACACATATATATGCAGACTGTTGGAGCACAGTTTGCTTTGACTCTTTCATTGCTACCCTGATGAATTATATTACTGTAATTCATGTATCATCATTGCCTGATGATAAAAGAAAATAAGATGAGAACACCACCTTTTATGTGTTTTTTCTCTTTTAACATGATGACACATGAGATGTAAATTACAATAAGTCAGTTAGCAGATGTACATAGAATCTTGGGAATTCCTAACAATAATGAGTGTCAAACCTCAGACCCTGGACATTAGCACTTTAAATGCATTCATAAAGAAAGCAGCGTTAAAGCTGGACTTTGAAACTCCTGGTCCACGAGTCAGTGAAGGTTGGAAAAAGCGTTTTACTTAGACCAATGGGAGTGCAACCCAAGTTCAGAGAACAGTGGCTGTTCAACCCTGCTGCCTTCAGAAGATGAGGGTTTGTCTCTGAAGTGTTGGACCTCTGCTGTTTCTCTCTCTCTTTTAAACTGGTTAAAAACAAACACCATGTTTAAGCAGAGTAGCATTAAAAATTGACGAAGTCATACGTACTGATATATATGATAATGACTGCCTCTGTACTGCCCTGACATTTGAGTTTTGTTGAAGGCTTTTATCCTGAGGTACTTTCTGTTCATTTCTTGCTCTCTCTCACATCAGTGTGGGACAACGCAGTAGGCACTCGAAACCATTTGAAGTGACTAAAGGGTTTGAGGGGTGGTTACTTCAGAAAAAAATTGGCATTTCAGAAAGATGTGTTTTTCCCTCGATCTCTGTTGATGTTTGAAGTCTTCAAAGCATTGCTATGATCAGAGAAAAACATTTCTTGTGAAATAGTTCTCTCTAGGAACGCAGTGACTTGAGACTGGCTCACTGTTGATTCAGATCCTCCCGTCTAGAAGCTGCTTTTACTGAAGGTGCTGCCAGCTGAGGCCTGGAGCTTGAGGCCTTGGACTGTCTTCAGTACAGAATATGTAAATATAAATTAACCTAGCTTTAAAATGAACTTCAAAGTCCATAAAAATGGAGTGTTTTTAAAAATATGTTGAAGCCGTCAAGTTTCTAGGTCATGCTGTTCATCAAAACATAGGATTACATGTAAAGTGAATGTGAAGAGAGATGACTTTCCGTTTTCTCAGTCTAACTGGTTTATTATTTCCAATCTACTTTTTTTGTTAAATGCTTATCCATAATGCTAAAAGTTTCACTTCAAAAATGTTGGCTAGTAGTTATCAAATACTTCTGTGTGCTTGAAACTACACTGAATAATTTTCCAGAATCCTCCTGCTTACTTCTAACACCATCTCTGTGAATACTGTTATTTCCTCTCCATTGTACACATGTGGAAACTGAGGCTGAAAGAGGTGAAGTTGTTTGGTGGTTTGGGGCTCATGTGACAGAGCCAGGGTGACAACTGGCCTTTTGATGCTGAGCCCACTGCCTTCACCTTCATATTCTTCTTTTTGGAAAAAGCATAGGATCCTCTGACTGACCAGGTTCTTTTCCACTCCACACTTAGGGGAAACTAAGTAGAAATACATTCCACAAACAAGTACCAGGGATTCTCATGCAGCCTTGGCTCTAGACCCTTTCCAGGTGTAGCATGGTGGAAGTGTTACTCAGATTCCCATTCTAAGACCAAGAAGGTCTAGTGACAAACCATCATGTAGATTAAACAGCTAATTACTCATCTGACCGGCACTTCAATATAAATACCGATACTATTTTTTAAAAAATGACAGTTGTAGTTGGCTCAGATTTAGGAAATCAAACAGTATTGGAGACATGGAAAAATAAGACATTAGAAGTCAGATTTCTAACCTGGGGTCTAATCTAACAACACATTTAAAATTTTTTTCCCAACTCTATTTCCCAACATGTATGTGCATGGATTGAATTAGCATCTTGTGAGATTCAACTCTTTTTGAATCATGGAACTTCTACTTCAGAAAAAACACACAGGTGAAATTTGTATATCATTTAGGGGATTCATGGGCCTTCTAAATTCCATAGGAGTTTTTTGATTTTTATTAATTGATTATTAGTTGATTCCTTGCATTTTATTTCACTTTATGAATGGAAGAATTGTATGGCTGTGCTGTATGAAGAACCTTTGTAGATATAACCCTCTGATACACAGCTGTTGGACTTCTGGTGGGTTGATGCTGATCAAATCACATTTGTTCAACATCCTGGGATTGTGCCGGATATAGTTTGAATTGATTGGACGAGAATTCCCAAAGAGGTGGCTGTGGAGCTCTGAAAAGAGTGGGTGGACTTGGAATTATCAGACTTGGTTAATTTGGAAACTTTCTTCACCTCCTTGTTCTCAGTTTCTCCTTTTATGTAAAGAATGAAGACCATCTCTGTCATGTGATTATGTGGCATTTAAAAGGAATAACAGACAATGAGCCCTGTAGATAAATCAACCAATAGGTAGGCAATGTGTTTGCTTGTTGCTTAAACACTTCTCAGAGGGTCATGTCTGGCTGGCTACAGGTTCTCATGGGTGCAGCCCTGGCAGGTCAGAGAAACTGCAGTGTGGCTGGTGGAAAAGGTCCCTGGGGACTGTGAGCCCAACCTCTTCACAGGTAATGGGAAAACACAGGACCTGGAGAGGCCTCCTGAGAAAGGGAGACGAATATGAAAATCAATATTGCTAAGAGAGAAAGTTGGACTAAAAATTTTGGAAAATCAGAGTTAGTCTTTGGACCTGTGATCCCGAAGGGCTAAAAGAGCAGCAAAAGAATCTTTCGATGAAAGAAACCTTCATCTAATAAATCTAACATTTAATCAGTGTTAACATACAGTAATATCAGAACTCATTAATTAATGATATACTTGGGAAGCTTATAGGAACACATTTATTCATTCACTCTTTCTTATTATCCTACAGGCAGGCATGGAAGAATTTTGAGAGGGGTCATATCATTTTGCATTAATTAACCCAGTAGGTTTCCATGGCTATTGAGTTGACCTTGAAATCTCTACTTCTGTTGTCTCCATTTCTCTTGCAAGGATGAGGTCTAATGTCTTAGGTCTGGAAGAATTAAGTCTATTTTCCTCTTTTTGAGGTTTAGTTTGATGTTTTCCTTTTTAATTGTGGTAACTTCTCCATATTTTAAGTCACTTATGAAGCTCCAATCTTCTTAATGTCTAGTAGATGACTAATACATTTTTTCCCTGCTTTTCTTTTCAGATTGAAGAATTTCGAAGGCTGAGGACACATGTGAAGGGGGCAGAACTTGTGGAGGGCTGTGATGGGATTTTGGGAGACAACTTTAGACCCACGCAGCCACTTAGTGACAGAGTCATCAGAGCTGCATTTCAATAGCCTGAAAGAACAGGAACACACCCACCTTCACCCGGGTATGTGCAGATGAATTAAGAAAATGGGCACATAGTTATGTAAACCCACCAGACCAAAGTTACTCTCGTGATGGTCTGGATAATTCAGCAATATGAATTTTATTTTGATAAAGTTTATGACCCTTTTCAAGTTCCATTAATTTACAAGTGAAATAGTTTTATAAAATTTCTGTAGCATTGAAAAATATCTGCAGTCCTTATATTTCCCACCAGAGTAGCCTTTTGTTTCATACTTTGCTTCACTATGGACTTTCATGAGGAGAGGCACTTTGAGACAGAGAAATGGGGGAATGCAAGCACCCCTTCAGTTCTTTACTGTGTTGAATCCCTGAAACTTCAGCAGTCACCTCCTGATGACTGAGGACCATAAAGGAAGGGACTAGAGTATGTGAGCCTCAGAGCTGACCCTCATTGTTTAATGCAGGTTTGATTGTATTGTTTTGGGGTGTAGGAAAGGGCAGATCTGTCATGAATGAAAATACTTGTCCTATGGAAGTGCTGTTATTTGATAATCAAGAAGCACTGATTAATCTGAATATGGGTTTTTCATTGATCAAAAAATAACATATACATTTTAATATATTGAATTCAATATATATTCCTTACCCTTATGGAACTAACAAAATAAATATTGCAACCATGGAAAAGATAAAGTCTACAAAAATGACTATATACTGAATTATTTCTTTACCTTGTAATTTGCCTAAGAATGCATTCATAGGTCAGCACCTGGCTGGCACACCACTGCTTCCTGTAAGCATAGTATCTGTTGAAATAGTTTCCTAGGTAAGCAGGACAGTGCTTTGACTGTTAGATGGACCATTGGGAGTATATAATCACATACTATGTGACTGGTACAGTGAATGGACTGGGCAGTCAAAGATGAATAGAAATCTTTGGCATCCAGAAGCTCACAGTCTCATGAACTAGACAGTAGACAGAGGAATTTTAAAAGGTGATCATTTTGTCCATGTTTCCTAATCCATTTTTCTTGCCTCTCTATTATTACTGTACTCTATGTACCCAGTGTTCTGGACAAACTGTCTTCTCTTCTGTGATTGTGCTTTGCTCACACAGTCCTTCCCACCCTACCTCTTGCCTATTGATATCCTGGCTGCCCTACAGGCCTAACTCAAATACCACTCTCAGCATGAATTCTAGGCTTCTCCTTTAAATTGTAGCTCTTATTTCACATTCTTTCTTCCATTTAGCTATTTGTGTATTTCTTACTTTTTTGGTTAGATTTCAAGCTTCTTAAGGGTTGGAACATGTTTGCTTTGAACCCATTGTGACACATAACACTTTGTATTTTGAATGTCTAGGCAAATTAGAAGTTTCTTAGAAATATGCATATTGTATATTCCAGTCATTCATCCATTCTCGGTTTCTGTGTTAGACAGTACAATTCCTCTCACCCTTCTAATTTTGGAGTTGATGAGAGCCAGGCAAAGTTGCCTTTGGTAGGAATGAGAAGAAACTTTTGGTAATTCGTATATGGTAACAATGGAGAAAATCCAAGAGTGCTTTAAGCCAAGCCTTATAGTAGAGGATAAAAACATATATTTAATTAAAAATCATTATTGAACACCTTCTATGTGATTGGTTCTGGGTGTGCAGAGTTGAGAACAGATGTGGTCTCTACCCACATAAAACAGAGTCTGAGGTGGGGAGCCTGACATAGAAAAATAAAGACTTCAAAATATACAATTATAAATTATTTATTATAAATTATAATAAAGTCCACAATCGAGAAGAACAAAGAATGTAGCAATGAAGATTTCTGATAAAAGGAATATCTTTTGCAAAAGTCCCATTGAGGGGCTTCTCCTTTTGGAGGTGGTAAGAAGTGAATGCATTGAAGCACCTGAAAGAAGGCACAGTAAATCTGGGAATAGAAATCAAAGTGGAAAGTTAGGCGGGGCCCATTCTTAGAGGGTCTGTCAGTCACATGAAAGCATCTCTATTCCCATGTCAACAGAGTTGAGATCTCATAAAGACCTCAGGGAGTGGCCTGATCCCACGTCTGTTTTGAGCTGATCACAGGGATTGGATTATAGTGGGCCAGGGCAGGAGTAGAAGGATATTTCAGAAATCAGGTAGCCAAGGTGAAAGATGGCTTAGATACTAGACTAGGAGCAGTGGAGGTGGAGAGACGTTGATGTCTGTGAAACAGGCCTTGAAAGTGACAGCTAGTGATAAATTGGATGAGGTGGAGAAAAGTGGAAATATCAAAGATAACTTAGGGGGCTTGAGGTTTTGGAAACTGTGTGGATAGAGCATCATTGAGTGATGCAGGAAAGCTGGAGGAGGCTCTGTTTGGGATGGAAGAAAGAAAATTTGGGTGGTAATGTCCAGAAGCTGAGGGGCCTGGGCTGCAGTGAGGCAGGGGAGCCTGCGTCAGCTGCTGCCCCTGCCCCTATTCCATGGGGACCACACAGGTGCTGCCTGTGCAGTGATGGTGTGCAGCTTCCAGAACAGCCATGGACACCTCTCCTTCAGGCCTGGGAAGTTGCAGAGAGTCAAGACTCACATCATGAAGTTGATGGACATGGAGAAGGTAGCTGATGAGTTGCATATGCCATCTCTCCCTGAAATGATATTTGGACACAAGGTTTTAAGAATCCAGCACTGTTCTGGTTTTGGGATTGAGTTCAGTGCTACAGATGTAAACAACTACCAAGGAAGGCTTAAAGTAGCCTGTGCTCAAGAGTGGTGGGAAAGCAGGATGGAGGGTGAAGACTATAAGGAGGCTATTAAACCATATGATTGGGCCTGTACAACAGATTATTAGGAAACATTACTTGGGGAATCATTTAACTTAAAGGTTGTACTTACAACAGACCATAATAGATACAGAGAAATTGAAAGCTAAAAAATAGGTTAAGTTTTTTGAATTTCTCTTGTTTGAGGATGAACTTCATGATCATGGAATTTCAAGCCTAAGTGTGAAAATTAGAATAACACCTTCCAGGTTTTCCCTGCTGTTGCAGTTTTTCTTGAGAACTGATGGAGTGCTTATCAGAATGAATGACATAAGACGTCACCACGGAGGCCTGCAAGACCTACATGTTATGAGAAGATATGTCATGAGAGAGCAGAATTGCTCATTTAATGCATGTTTCACCTTCCCTCCACATGGAAACTAATGAGATACCATGGCATTCACTGATCAAAGAAGCAGTTGATGAGAAGCTAATATTTCCAGAAAAAGTTGATCATAACCCTGCAGACTCACAAGAAAATGCACCTGTGGAAGAGACTGTGATGTACCATCTCTCCATGGTAATGTTGGAGACCTCTGGCTATATGGATGGGGATATTCTTATTATGAAAATTCATTGACTTGTCTGAATGCAGATTTTCTGTAGCCTTAGAGGAAAAAAAAATAAAAGATTGTTGCAGACAGGTTCCACTAAAAAAAAGAGTTGAGTGGGAGCACATTGAATAAGAGATGCCTGTCACTCACAAGTAATGGGCTTGCCATGAAGGGAGCTGGAATTTTGATAGTGGAGATCAGAGAAGAGGTCTGAACTGAATACGGGAGTCATTAGCATAGAGATTTTACACTTATGTATAATGTTCTAATGCAGCATAGGCACTAACTCATTAAATGCTCATAAAAATCTTTAGGAGTCTTTACAGGTGCATTAACCAAAGCACAAATAAGTTAGGTTGCTTGCCCAAAGTAATGCAGTCCCACAGCAGAACTGGATGTTGGAACAGGGCAGCCTGGGTGGCAGAGCCCTGTTTCTTGGCTTTACATGACAGAGTTCAGAGAGTGTCCCCACAATGGAAGTCAAGGTGGAGCATGATGAGGATGCACGCGCCATACACAGGACGATGTTGAGTATGAAGGAAGAAGGTAGAGATGCTGTGTGATGGCAGCTCTTGATGTGCCGGGCTGGGAGGGGAGCAGAGGCTGCAACAACCGAGGGGATAAGATTGAAGGAGACTTTTTTTGTTAATTGACATAAAATCGATGAACAGCATTGCGTAAATTTAAGGTGTACATCCTGTTGATTTGATACACTTAAGTATTGCAATGGGATTACCACGGTAGCATTGGCTAATGTCTATCATGTCACATATATAGCATTTCTTTTTCGTGGTGAGAATGAGACTTCTTTTTTTTTTTAAACAAAAGAAATAATAGAAATTCTCTGTATTTTCAGGGGAATGAGCCAGTAGGTGGAGGGGCTGACGGCACTGTTTCCCAGAGGAGTGAAAAGGGATGAAATCCTAAGCAAATTTGGAGACTGACTTTTTTAATGGAGTAGATACTTTATGAACTTTAATAGGACGGAAGAAGAGGTGATCGTTTATAGACTTTGGGATTCATGACTTGTTTTCATTATTTCAGGAAGAATGGTGTAGCAGCCAGGAGGGCAAGAGCAGCAGGAAAGATGGGAGATTGGAGCAGAGTGAAGAAGGGTCGAAGGGTGGGCTTACAGGAGCGGCCAGTGAGAAGGGCAAGCAGTGAGGTGTGAAGAGGTTTGATGAACATGAATTTATGATTTTCCCCAGCCTAAGTTTAATTTACTATCTGTGAATATCAGTAACTATGAATGACACATTTTAATGAAATAAGATTCTCTTGAATTTTTGATCCATATGTCCCTAGACCAGAGTTACCTCTCTATAAATATTTAAATAAACAACACTATTTTATCGCTGTTACATACGCACACACAGCATGAGAGTTTAAAGTTAATGAGATTATGTATATTTCAGATATGTCATATTCACAGTATGATAGATAATGCGTAATTTTCAAAGTCTTAAATCAATTATACTTTAGGTATTTTGAGAGGAAGATGGACTTGTGTCCATTTCTTGGAGGCTGAGATTACTTAAAGGAGGTCATTTTCCTCGAAATTCCTAAGACTGGTGCAGGACTTCTTTCAAAGGCAACTCCAATTCTGACTTCATCTTTTTATGAATACATTTTTGATCATTTTATCTTGAAATATGTTATACAAATTTAGTTATAGTTTTACATAAAAATTATATTAGGAAATCAGACTTATGGATGTATGCTTTTTATTTGATATTTAATAATGCCCTAAGGCAGGTAATTCAAATTTTTATTAAAGTGAAATGATTTGACAGTCAGACTTTGAATTTAATGCATGAATGTTTCATTTAAGCTCTTGGAGCTGAAAAGAAAAAAAAACTTTTTTTCCTAGGAGTTCTCTAAAAAATGTTTAAAATAATTTAGATTTACTTTAGCTATGTTTTACTAAAATAACTTTAGTTTTTGGACTTAAAATGGCATTTTTTTGCATGACATGTCTAGACATCTGGAAGGCTTTGATAACCAAGACTCATTATTCCCATGAATAATCTGTGACTTTTCACATTACCATTTAAGAAGTATGAGCTCTGATTTTGTACTTGTATAGGGAATTAGCATATAACTCACCCAAGTGCAGTGTTAGTTCAGGTTTCTGGGAGCCAGTTGACATTAAGTGATCCTTTACCTACTGAATTTTCTACATGATATAGGAGGACCAAATCTGAATAACAACGAACAGCAAATAAGAACAAGTGTTAGGTCCAGTTTACTTGTTGCTCTTGGTGTTATAATACTGGTGCTAGTGAGTGGTTATTTGCCTACTTGTTTCATTAAGTATTAGCCCATTTTTAAAAGGCTATTCTGACTGTTTAGACTTAACTATTTCCCCCATGACTCAGGTATCATTAAACTGCACATATGTTTACAGTAAGTATAATTAATTATAATGATTTACTCTCTGTAAAAAACAATGACACAAAGCTTGTTAAATAGTTTTCCTTTATTCCACTTATCAGTGGAAAATATAAGTATGCCCTAAATAGATTTAAAAAATTCCCAAAAAATGTAGAAGGGAAAAGAGTGCGTATTAAGCAGCCATCTCTGAAAGATCCCTTTGTCGAACTTGCCCTCATTTTCTTTCTGGGTCTTTGGAGTCACCCCTACCTGTGCTGAACTCCTCCCCATGTGTACTTCTGAATTAACAATGTCTTCTGAACTTTAATGAACTGTAGCTAGCATCAATTCTATATCAGTTTTCTTTAATAACCGAAAAGAGTTATATGTTAGAAAGGGATAAGACATTATAGGAGAGGAGGGGCTGTGTGGGGAAAGGAAGAATATCAACTCAGAATGACCAGGTAGCTCAGGGGTGTCCAACCTTTTGGAGTCTCTGGGCCACACTGGAAGAAGAGATGTCTCGGGCCACACACTAAATACACTGTGACATGTAATCACAAAAACCCCTCATAATGTTTTAAGTAAATTTACGATTTTGTGTTGGACTGCATTCATAGCCATCTTGGGTCTCATGTGGCCCAGAGGCTATGGGTTGAACACCCTTGTTAGGGAAAAGCTATTATCTTTCCCGGATAAATGGGAAGCTGAAAGCCAATTTTAGTCAATAGAACCTGTACTCTTCTCAATCTAATAATTTAGCATAATGCACAGCATTAGGGTGAGGAATGAAAGCTCGATGGATGCAGTTGTTTTAAATTTATTGTATCAGAATTTCTTGAAAATGGAATGAATTTCTTAAAGGGTTTCAAAATGATTTCAGGAAAGGCCCCTGATACCAAGGGTGTTCATCCTATCTATTGTGTTTTGATTATGTGATATAAAATTGTTATTAACCTAAGAATGAAAAATATCAAAACTGTATAGGCATTTCTTTAAGATTACTAAACTAGGAAAATGCTCCTGGCTTCCATATTTCTGACTTTTTTATGTTTTGGAAATGTTCATCATTTGTTATGCATAAAAATATCTGAATAATTTAGTTTTCTTCCACCCCCATGAATTCATACAAAATTGTGTTTGGGTAGGAAAAAAGAGAGCATTTTGCAGTCATGTATGTTGAACATTAATATATTCTGATACCTTAAATAGATTTTATGAAAACCTAAAGGATTTCTCTTCCATAAGAAAATCACTGAGAACAGATTATCTTCTCCAAACATGTCCTATTATGCCTTTTACCTCATGAATGCTCAGTTTTGGTCATTTCTTCAAATCAAATTTTTAGCTTTTTTTTTTCCACTTTGAGACTTATTAAGAAAACCTTATGGAGAGACATGCACTTCAATTTCTTCCTCCTTTATCTGCCATGTGTTCCCTCTAGTTCTCTCTCCCCTGATAAAGTCCACAGAGATTTGGGAAAGCAGAGGCATTTTAGAACTAGGGAACTATAAAATCTCAGCACTCACCATCAGAGTCCTCACAGCTCAGGCTGGGGGGCCTGCTCTCTCTATAGGGACTCACCCACACTCACAGCTTCTGTTGCCACTAAATACAGATGATCCACTCATTTATATTCCTAGACCAGGTCTCTCTTTTAAGTTCTAGAACCAAATGCCTGACTGTCAGTATGACTTTTCTTTTGGCTGTGTCAAAGGCATCTCACACTCAACACATACACAACTGAATTTACGATATTCCTTCACAGACTTGGCTCTCTTAAAGTTTTCTCAGAAACCTGTCATACTTGACATTCTTCTTCCTCACCTCACCTCACCTCAAATTTTCACTTGTCATCCAGTTCTGCAGATTTTCCTTCTGACAGCTCCAAATTCATCTATACCAAGTTCTGTCCAGAAAAAGTCCAACCATATTAATATAACAAGAATGGTTTGCATGGCATTGAAGTAACCTGGCAGCCAAGGAGAGTAGACTGGAAGACACATGCATGAACAATGACGACTTCACTGTACTAGTCAGTGGGGGTGGTAGAAGCCATTGAGTGAGCATGTGTACTGTGTGGCTATCACATTAAAAAATGACTGAGTGAGTAGAGCAATGAATCTGCACCAAATTTTGTATTAAGCTTAAACATTCCTCTGCAGAAACCATTCAAATGATTCAGGAGGCCTCAGCTATGGGAATCTGGTGATTGGCAGCTTCATCAGACAATGTGCCTGCTCATGCATCACAACTCATGCAGTTTTTTTGTGAAACATCAAATCACCCAGGTGACACAGCCCCACTACAGCCCAGATTTGGCACCCTGCAACTTCTAGCTTTTCCAAAAACTAAAATCACCTTTGAAAGGGAAGAGATTTCAGACTCAATGAGATTTAGGAAAATCTCATATGACAGGGCAGCTTGTGGCAATTGGGAGAACTGTGTGAGGTCCCAAGGTGCATACTTTGAAGGAGACTGAGCCATCATTGTCCTGTGTACAATGTTTCTTGTGTCTTATATCTTCGTCAATAAATGCCTCTGTTTTTCATAGTACATGGCTGGATACTCTCTGGACAGATCTGATGTCTCCATCTTCATCCACACAACCCATCAAGTTACCATCATCTCTCACCTAGACTGTTGCAAGAGCATCCTTCTCTTTTATGTTGAAAAAAGATTTATAAAAATAACAGACATGGATGACATAGGGCACTCAAATGTGTGTGTCAATTCTGAGAAATTGGTACAAGAATGTTAAGTAGGATTCCGAATCCACACATGAGCACAGTGGAAAAATAACTAATTGGCACCATTTTTCATTAGGGGCTGGTGGTGGTATTGTGGTTGGTTATTGCCATCCACATGAAATATAGTATTGTTGCCATCTGATTTAAATGCCTTAGCTAGTGAGGTACAGTCTTTTGGAATGGGCTTTGGAAATTTATCTGCATTAGATCTACCAATATGTAACTTCTTGTTGTGTTAGCAATTACAAGGAAATAAAAAAAACATAATGAAAGAATGAAGTTCTCTAATTCACTTTCTATTTAATATTTTCATTTCATTGTGTAATAGTTATGGTCCTGATGATTATACTTAGCAAAAATGCTTATGTATAGCTTCTGTTTTCCATTACAGTGCTTCTTAAATCCCTTAAAAATTTCTGAATTCTTGTAATTTCAGTGGTTAGAAACTCATAAAGGCCTTTACACCTTGTCTGTAGAAAATATTTTCAGGAACAGCTTAGAAGCATGGAGTTGAAATGGATCTCAAAAAGTTATTTAATCTAGTCTTCTGCCTGAGGAGATGGGTCTTCAACTACATTATTCTAGATGGTTGCTTTCCTTATCTAGAAACAAACAAGCTAACAAACCTTTGTTGTCTGACAATACCTACTTCAGACATTTGTTACTCCTGCCTAATGCAAAAAAGAAAAAGAAACCCTTATGAAATGCTGTCTGTAAAGTATTAACTAAATTGGAATGCCATTTCAATAGTAATATTTTTATAGTTTGCCATGAATAAATATTTTTTATTATTGTAACTGGTTATATTCTAAGTATCCCAAGATTTATATTTTTCTTCTCTTTGTAGCTGGTGAGAAGTCCTATAACCTTTATGCTGCAGACTTATAATTTTTCACAGATATGAATGTTCATTCTGATTTTAGTATTGGGACAACCAATGGGTCTCCAATAACTTTTCTTTAAAGAATGATTATATTTAGTGGTTCCCAGCAATAAAATCACTGTGATTAGGAATAAAAGATTATAAATAAGAATAACAGTGTTATTAATCATCTGAGTTAGTCATTTATGGCACATTCCTGTATCTGAAATAGTTCCATAGGAAATAATGCTAAAATCCACATTTACTTATAATTACACATAATACAAACCTCTCATTATAATAGTTGCCCAAATCCCAATCCAACTTAATTTCATTGAATATAATTTCTGGACTAAAAGCATTAAGCTTGAACTAGTGAAAAATGTATAATATGTGCATTTAATTAAGGAGTAATTAGATACTCAATCACCCTTACAACACACCAGGGATTAGGGAAGAAGGAAGGAAATCATGATGCACTGTAGTGTATGAAATAGTTCCCTTAATTAGTTTAGTGCTAATTGAGATCGAGAAAGTGTCAAAGTTTCATAACATAGGTTTACTTGAGTAACTTTAAAAGCTAATAGTGTTTAATGTCTTATGATAGTTTGATGCAAAGAAATGTAGAAATGACCACCTTATATGCTTTATCCTAGAATTTTGATTAGGTTTGTACATTCATTGTACGTTTTGCACATTAGTGAGTGATGGAAAGCAAAAAACATATACGTTTTGTAGTTCAGGTATTTTGTTATATTCTACCTAATTTAATCCTCACAACAATTCTGTGAGGCATGTGTTTTTATTTTCATTATAGAGATAAAGAAACTGAGGCTGAGAGGGGTTGATTAACTTGTTCAAGGTCATAGCCATTAAAGTGCAAAGCAAGGATTCAAACCCAGGTAGGTTTAACTGCAAATCCTGAGCTCTTTCACTACATCACATTTCACATAACAAAGGGCAGAAAATAATGAAGTCCTTTACATCCTTGCCTCCTTGTCTTTTTTCAGAAAAGTTCCTGGGAATCGGATTTCTGAGGGAAAAGGAGATGCATGTTTTCATTTTTGGTAACATTGCTAAACTACCTTCTAAAGAGTGTTATGCTAATTTTTGCTTACACCAGTGATTATTTTATAGAAGGTGTTTTTGGCATTTATTTTTATCAGTCACTTTGTATAACTTTCATCTCCTTTCTCATCTTTTTACTCTTCACTTTCTTGAAATGTGTTCATTTCCATCTACCTATTGAAATGGCTGTGGCAAAATTCACCTTGACTTATTTCTCTTTTTCTAGTTTGTTTCCATGTCTCCAAATACATGTTCATGGAAGAAAATTCAAACAATACAGAACAAAAGGAAGAGGAAGCAAACATTTCCTCCTCTCGGTGATAGCTGTCCCCAGCGCTGGGGCGTTCTGGTTAACGTGGGGAATCTGTAGCACGGGGGATGGGGGATGGCTCAGGTTCCATCCTGACACCTCATTAATTAGCTGTGTGACCTTGAAAAAGTTACTAATATCTCTAAGTCTCCTTTTTTCAATCACTTAAATGAAGGCCATAATAGTGTCCACCTCATAAAGTGGTTGTGAGGAATATGATGAGATAATGTAACCAAAGAGCTTAATTTGGGTCCACAATTAAGTGTTCAATAAATGTTACCTTCAACGTAGTTTTGTCCATTCGATCTTTCCTTATGCACATACATATTTCATATGGGCATGTGGACATGTGGTGGTCCTTATGTGATGACATTATGAGGGCTGTTTTCTATTTGATGATACATGTTTTCATGCATTTGAAGAGATGGTATACTTTTAAATGATATTACATAAGTTGCCTTTAAATATGTTACAAAATTTACTGAGCTATTCTTCTATTATTGTATATTTAGATCATTCCCAGTATTTTGCTATAGTCAATAAGACTATGGTTAATTTATGCATTTATTTCCTTAGTAATAAATTCTAAGAAAAAATTCTTAGTAATAAGATTATTAGATCAGAAAGTGAATTGTAATATATATGTATATATGCATATATATTGTAATATATTGTATATGCATATTACTCTCCCCAAGAATTATATCAGTTTATGTTTCCACTAACCATGTTCCTAACTACACATTTATTTATTTTTACCTTTATCAACATTGAGCATTTTCATTTTTTATTCTTGGCAATCTGATTAAAAGTGACTCTGTTATGTTATGTTAAGTATTCCTGTGAATACTTGATTTTATTCTTGAATTTCCTGTTCTGTCCCATTAATCTGCCTGGTCATGAGCACCGACCGCCATGTGTGTGGCAGGAGTGTGTGGTTTAGTGTCTGGTGTGACAAGATCCCTTACTAATCTTTTTGGCAGAATTTTCCTGGCTATTTTCACATGCTTAATTCTCCCAGAGAAAATATAGGATCATTTTGTCAGAAAGACTGAAATAAAGAGTAAAAGAAAGAGAAGGTGAGAAAAAGTGAGAGAAAAAGAAAGGAAAAAGAATCTTGCCAGAAATTTTCCTTTAGATTGATTGACTGTATGTAGAGAAATTTGATGATAATTAATATTCTTACAATATTAAATCTCTTTGTTAAACAAACATAAACAGGTCTATGCTTATTTAAGTT